GTCACATCATCCTCTGAACCGCCTCGGGGGCAAATATAATAATGACGCATACAGGCGATGACGTCATTCCAAAAAGAAAGCCACGCGTCAGTGGCTCAACAATGTCATATATTTCACCTCATTCATATTGCCGCCCCTGGTCGAGGTCAAATTCTCCTAAGCCGAGGTTTCGCATTTTCGCCCATCGAAGACGCCCACCGAATGCGTCTCCAACGAGCGGAGGGACTAACTGTATAGGGTCAAATTTGACCGTCAGCGTCTCTACGCCAGAGGGTACGCCCAGTGAGTGTACGCCGACTAACGTAGTGGGTACGAGTCGGACGTGGGGACAAAAGCGACATCGTTTAGGACCCAGTGTCTTCACTAGGGAGACGTTACCTATTTTTGTTAACTTTTTGATTATTCGTAGGAAGGTCTCTTATTATATAAGGGAGACCTTCACATTGTAAACAGGAGGATTGGGGAATAATACAACTCTCTCATTATCTGACTCTCTCTCTCTATCTCTGTCTCAAACGAACATATTGTCTTGAGTTCATATTATCACTTTCTAATACTAGATCTACAACAATAACATCATTTTTACATCTCTAGGTCTACTATATTTGATTACGATTTACCCTTTCCTTACTTTCGATTGTTTTCTAGCTTACAAAGTACATTGTTAACTTTTGAGCCAAACATATATATATATAAGAGGGAAAAGTATTATATCAAGCAAACACATCTTTCCTGTCCGCTTCAAGGCTGGATTCAAATATAAATTGCTTCTAAAAAATTTAGAATGAAATTCAATTCAATGTAAATAGTTTGATAATAGAAAATAAATCTCGTACGACACGAAAGGAAAAGATAACTTTCCTTTTCTAGATATTTCGAGTTCGGAGAGAATATGGGACTGTCTGGATCAGATAATGTAAATATAACTTCTATGTTGAGGCAAATGAAAAGGTTAAAAAATTAGCTACTACTTCCAGTTTTAGTTGTGTGGCGTATGAAAATTGAAAACTGAAAAAAGAGAACGTGGACATTAATAGACTACTGGCGTGTGATTATTTTGAACCAGAATTTTTTGTCTCTTAAATCTTAATACTAGCATTTTCGTAATTCTCCACCAAACCGTAAAGTGCCTGGATATTTTTGTCTCTCTTTGCTGATCCAAAAGACAGCTAATGCGTCATCGTTTCATATTAGTATTTATATTCATATACTGTCAAACAGTGACGATACAAAGTGAGAAATTGAGTGCAAATTTAAATGCACTTACTAGTTTTTGGATTCTATTAGTTTAAAAGTACAATAAATTCAAACTTAAATTTTTTTATGAAATTAAATTCATCAACCTTAAATTCAGTATTTGTCACAATCACTCTCCCCAACCTAAGTGCATGGATATTTTAGTCTCTCTTTGGTGCTCCAAAAGACAATGGTTTACCTTTCCAATTTTGGGAAGAGCATATGAATTAATAAGTTAGTTACCTGCAACATTATCTTGAGCCATGTACTGACATTCATGTACTGTCAGACAGACGGATACAAAGTGATAGTGATCGATCTCAACATTTATAGTAACTAAATTGCGTCAAACATAAAAGAAAGAAATGTTAGGACCGAAAAAATCAGGTGTCTTGCGAAAGTTAGGAAAGCAAACCTTTAACGACGATAAATTATATACAACAAAGAGAAATCTACCAAAAGAGACACAAACATTTAACGTGGTTCGGTCGATTGACCTACGTCCACAGCGGAGATGAACAATTCACTATATAAAAAGATAATACAAAATATCGAGAGAATAACCTCACGAAGAGGCAAACACAAGTGACACACTAACACTTATTCCGTAAAGTTCTCCCCCTAAACACGTTTCCCAAACTCCATATGGCTACATTATGGATGTTAATGAATGAGAAGGACGGATCTCCAATTTATAGAACTCTAAACCTTTTCCTACAAGAAAAGGAACTAGCCAAATATGGAAGAATTATATTTTCCTTATAGGAAAAGATTTAACACAATTATTGTAAATATGTTGTTCTTTCCTTCATGAAATAGGAAAATCAATTATGGTAAGAAAATCTGGACAAACACCTAACAATTCCTCCTTCTTGGCCTGAATTTTGTGACAAAATAAATTTGATCCACCTTCTTCACATAGTATTCAACAGGTCGCATCTCCAAATCTCCGCCACAAAGTTTGTCTCAACGTGCGTAGCACACCGGTCAAATTTCTCAGACAAAAATCACGATTATCATCAAATATGTTGCGGCTAGAACTGACCAAGATGAACCTGTCTTGAACCTCGCTCTAATACCACTTGTTAAGACCGAAAAAATCAGGTGTCATGCGGAAGCTAGTAGAGCAAACCTTGAACGACGATAAATCATATACAACAAAGAGAAATCTACCAAAAGAAACACAAACATTTAACGTGGTTCGGTTGACTAACCTACGTCCACAGCGAAGATGAGCAATCCACTATATAAAAAGAGAGTACAAAATATCAAGAGAACAACCTCACGAAGAGGCAAACACAAGTGACACAGTAACACTTGTCCCGTAAAGTTCTCCCCCTAAACACGACTCTCAAACTCCATATGGCTACATTGTGGATGCTACTGAATGAGAAGGACGGATCTTTAATTTATAGAACTCTAAACCTTTTCCTAAAAGAAAAGGGACTAGCCAAATATGGAAGAATTATATTTTTCTTCTAGGAAATGATTTAACCCAATTATGGAAAATATATTGTCCTTTCCTTTATAAAATAGGAAAACCAATTATGATAAGAAAAGCTGAACAAACACGAGAAAAACTATCATGGATGCAATGGCACCAATCTTACGTGTTTGATTATTTAAAATATCTGAATATCAATTCCTCTGGGAATTTCCTTTCATTCGCATGTATGTATGATTTGTATACATATTACTAAACTTTGAAAAGCATATATTCATGCGAGGACTCCGAGGGTATTTAAGAAACCATGAAAATGGTCTTAAACAAAAGGAAAAACTTATCCATACAGGATATTTACACCCAGTAAAATTAAGTTAACCATAGAAGACAAACTCAGGTCTACTAAACATTTTATTTTTAATATATAAAAATGAAAAAAGAACTAAAATCATAATAGGAATACGTTAGAAAGCTTAGAATTGCCGTCAGCATTGTCTCTCTCTTTTATTTCTTGTCTTTCTTTTCTGGCTTAATTCCAGAGCTCTTTATCGTCATCCTTTCTTCATAGATATTGTGGGGCTATAAAACTTTTCTCATTAAATAAAAGAGTTAAAGTTTAAAAATATATCATCCTTATCAGAAGAGACTAAATAGGAAATATCACAAAAAATTAAGATGGAGATTTATTTGTTATGTTTAATGAAATTTCATATTTGCTTATTTATTTAAAATTTGTTTCAAAAATAACTTCGGAATCAGAATTAATTTCCTCTTTACAACAATATCTAACCTCTTTCATCTTTCCCTGAAATAACCAAAATACACTTCAGAATTTTCACAAGAAACTTTAGAAAAAATTTAGGGGGTCACAATTGTTTTTAAAATTAAAATATCAAATGGCTAATTGTTTCCGTTACCATTATAAGTTCGACCATTGAACTTCACTCCAGAAAAAAAAAGTTATTTAATACTAAATATACAGTGATGGAGAATACATATACAAGTATACAACCAGTTTCATCATTTCCTCTAGTACATCCCAAAAAACAAGATAATCTAATTCAACAATATTTGCCCAATCACAAAGCAAAAGACATGTAACTAATAGCATAAGTCACTACTTTTAACACTTAATTTAACAGGATTTATCAAGAAGCTTAACATGTTTAAGAAAATAGTACTTATTAATTTTCACGTGAGTTTCTAGAAGAAAGCTAGCTTCCTTTAGCAGTCAAACGGACAATGTGGATCTATGATTATTATAACAAACTGGAAACATAGTCCTATTTCTATGTTTCAAATATTAAATACACAACTTTACTATAACTAGTTAAGTACTATAATTTCTAAATAAGGTTGTCGATCTCCTGTTTGGGACCATATAAACATTTATTGCAGGCCCCAGATTTCTTGATCTTTTCACCAGTACATGTTGTGATAATATCGTCAATAAAAGCCTGCAGATTCTTCTGGGAGGAGCCACCTTCAGCCACCGCATCCTCCGCCGCTTTCTTCCATTTCAACGTGTTTTCTTTCATCTCCGCCGCCTTTGCTCCGCTCGTCGCCTCCCTCACGCAATTCTCCACTTCCTCTCGTGGAATAATTCTATTTTCATCCTCACCTCTACACATACGAATCCCAACTTTAAATACGTCCACTAAATACTTAGCATCAAGAACTTGATCACCCCATTGAGGAAAAGCAATTATTGGTGTACCAATTGCTAGTGATTCCATAGTCGAATTCCATCCACAATGCGTCAAAAAACAGGCTAAAGATGGATGTGCTAATACTTGTTCTTGTGGACACCATTGTACAATTTTAGCCTTATCACCAGCTTTGTCCAAAAACCCATCTGGTAATTTTACAGGTAAATAACCTGTCCCTGTGTAAGGTTCCTTCATTACCCACAAAAAATTCAGCCCTGAATTCAACAACCCATATGCCATTTCATCAACTTGTTCTTGTTTCAATGTGACTATACTCCCAAATGAAATGTACACAACAGAGGACATTGGTTTTGAATCCAGCCATTGTATTACACCGCTATCGGCTGTGAATAAATCGCCACGAAAATCGTCTGAGGATCCATTAGGGGAAACTAATTTAGGGTGCTTGAATAATGGACCAACAGTTTTAATAGGACATATTTTGGAAAGTTGCTCAACGAGTTCAAGTTCAAGTTCTTGGAAAGTATCCATTAATATACAAAATGGACTAGACAATTTCTTGAATTGACCTAAAATGGCTTCTTTCAACATAATATAACGAGAAGAAGAAAAAGGGTGCAAGAAGTTAGGAATTTCGTCATGTTTGAGTAGAGGCATAGCGGGAAGTTGAACTTCAAGCTCTGGGTTTGATTCAGTAGGGAATGCAACTAATTTAAGGAGATAATGGTAATAACAAGAAAAGCTAGCAGCAGATTGAACCCAAAGGACAGCACTAGGAATTCCCAGAGTTTCAGCAACATCAGAAACCCAAGGTATAAAAGGATTATTTATAAGACAAGAAACAGGGTGACCCTGTTTCTCGTTTTCCTCAATCAATTGATTGAGGCGTTCTGTACCCACTGACTCTAGATGTTGCATGTATANAGAGTCTCCAGCTCAATGTTCCGAGCCAGAGCGGTCATCAGCTGCTCGTCGATCTGCTCCAGCTCGGCCACCCTCCGTTTCAGCTGGGCCTCCGACTGCTCCAAACCCTCACGGAAAACCCAAAATTCCGGGTCCTGCTTGAGTAGGTCCGCCAGCGCCTGATGCTTGACGCGGCACCGCCGATATTTCTTTACCACCTTGTTAAAGGTGGCTGCCTTCCTTTGCGCTCGCCGCCCCCTCTCTACCTCCAAGATGAGAGTCTAAAGAAGAGGAAAAGGAGGAAAGGCAAGTCAGTATGTATCAAAATTTACTTTACGATACATGAAGAAAATCGAAAAATACCTGCAAGGCCGCGCCGGCAACCCTCCGGGATAGTTCCCCGTCGCTAACCCCTTTTAACATTTAACGCTCAGCGGCCGCACATAGCAGGGTCATATCCGCTGTGGCCTGCTCGCTGTGTTGCAACAGGTTATACCCTCCTGGGATCAGAATTCGGCGGTTGGATCTACCTGCCGTCATCCCCACACGGGCCGGACCCCGCGTTAACGCATCTGCATCCGTATGGGTAGCCTCAGGGCACACCCTCTCGGTACCGTCACCCGCTTCTCCAACGGCAGCCGACGAGCCGCTCTCCGGAATACGTGTTAGGCTGGCATCGGGAACCGCCCCCCCTTGGGGAGCCGACCTCCCAGAACGGATGGCATCTGCCATAAAAACTGGCCTTGACTCCCGACGGGGCTCGCTCGCCCCCTCGTCTTCTGTGGCTATCCCCTTGCCGGTTATCAACCGGCATCTTTTCCTTTCCGGCGGCTCCTCGCCCTCAGAAGTCTCCTCCACAGGCCGTGGGGATGGCATTGAAGGAGTCGCTTCACTTGTGGACACCGCCACGGGCAGCGGTTGAGGAACCTCCGGAGCGCCATCACTAGGCGAGCCACAGGGTATGTATGCGTCT